CAATGATCTTCCCCCTCGATGATCCTCACCCTCACCCTCAAAGATCCCCCCCCTCACCCTCAATCCCCTCCCCCTCAATGATCCTCCCCCTCCTTTTGCCTGCCATCATCCCCCTCCCCAATCACCCTGTCCTCCATCAATCACTTTCCCCATTCCCCATCAGTCTGTCCCTTTAGCAACATCACCCTTTTTTTTTATTTATTCATTTTGTTGTGGGATGTGAGCATCGCTGGCTGGGTAGCATTTATTGACTGCCCCTAGTTGCCCTTGAGAAGGTGGTGGTGAGCTGCCCTCTTGAACTGCTGCAGTCCACCTGCAGTGGGTTGATCTACAATGCCATTAGGGATGGAATTCCAGAATTTTGACCCGGCGCCGGTGAAGCATGGCAATATATTCCCAAGTCAGAATGGTGTGTGGCTTGGAGGGGAACTTGGAGGTCATGATGGTCCGATATATCTGCTGCCCTTGTCCCTCTAGCTGTAATTGGTCATGGGTTTGAAAGGTGCTGTCTGAGGATCTTTGGTGAATCTCCCCCCTCTACTCACCCTGCCCCACCCCCCCACCAGCACCTTCCCCAAGTTGATTGCCCTGCCCAGCACCTTCCTGCTGCCTTCCTGCCCTCGTGTCCTCTCACTGCAACCAGCAAGCCAAAAACTCCCCTTGCCCCTAACCTGCACCCTAGCTCTGTTTCAATCATCTAGAGTTCAAGAAGGCAATTCACCATCACCTCAGCGGCAGCCAAGGATGGGCAAAAAATGTTGGCCCACATCTCATGAATGTATTTTTAAAAAATGCTCCACCTCCATAACCCACCCACCCTCATTCCATCCTCTGAAAGCCCCTAAAACCTCGCATGCTTCCAACTACCTCACCATCCCTGCACTGACTAACCCCATGCCCCGTATTACCTATCCAATCCCTCCCCCATCTAATCCTCTCCAGTCCCTAATTTCCAATGTAGAGCGTGATGCACTTTCAGGGGAATGTAGCAGGTTTCTGGTGCTGAGACTGGCTGAGACTGAGACTACTGTAATGAGGAGTACATCAGGTTCCAAGTGGTCAGTGGTGACTGGGGACTATCTAGTCAGAGGCACAGACAGACGTTTCTGTGGCCGACAGCGAGACATGACAATGGTGTGTTGCCTCCCTGGTGCCAGGATCAAGGATATCTCGGAGAGGGTCCAGAATATTCTCAAAAACGAGAGGGACCATTAGAAGTTTGTCATACACGTTGAAGGACTGGTGCAGTTGGGAAAAGGAGCAAGTCAAACAGTCAGGGCAGGGAGGAACAAAGCAGAGAACAAGGTAGGACAGATAATTAAACTGCATTTATTTCAATGCAAGAAGCCTGACACGTAAAGCAGATGAACTCAGGGCGTGGTTGGGAGCATGAGACTGGGATATCATAGCAATTACAGAAACATGGCTCAGGGATGGATAGGACTGGTAGCTTAATGTTCCAGGGTATAGATGTTATTGGAAGGATAGAAAGGTGAGCAGGATTGTCGGGTGAGTGGCATTTTTGATTAGGGATAACATGATGTCTGTACTTAGGGAGGATATTCATGGGAGTACGTCCAGTAAAGTTATTTGGGTGAAACTTAGAAGTAATAAAGGGATGATCACCTTACTGAAATTGAGAAGCAAATTTATAAGCAGGTCTCAGTTACCTGTAAGAATAATTGGATGGTAATGGTAAGAGGATTTTAACTTTCCAAACATAGATTGGGACTTCCATAGTGTTAAGGGCTTGGATGGAGAGGAATTTGTTAAGCGTGTAAAGAAAATTTTCTGATTCAGTATGTGGATGTATTTACTGGAGAAGGAGCAAAACTTGACCACTTTTGGGAAATAAGGAAGGGCAGGTGACTGAGGTGTTAGTGGGGGAGCAGTTTGGGGCCAGTGACCATAATTTTGTTAGTTTTAAAATAGTGATGTAAAAGGATAGACAGGAACTAAAAGTTAAAGTTCTAAATTTTGAATTTGAAGGCCAATTTTGAAGATGTTAGACAAGAATTTTCGAATGTTAACTGGGGACAGATATTCGCTGGTAAATGGATGGCTGGGAAGTGGGAAGCCTTCAAAAATGAGACAGCAAGAGACCAGAGACAGTATGTTCCTGTTAGGGTGAAGGGCAAGGCTGGTAGATGTAGGGAATGCTGAAAGATGAGAGAAATTGAGGTTTTGGTCAAGAAGAAGAAGGAAACATATGTCAGATGTAGACAGCAGGAATCAAGTGAATCCATAGAAGAGTATATTGCAGTAGGAATATACTTAAGAGGGAAATCGAGAGGACAAAGAGGGGACATGAGATAACTTTGTCAAATAGTGTTAAGGAGAATTGAAAGGGATTCTACAGATACATTAAGGACAAAAAGGTAACTGGGGAGAGAATAGGGCCCCTTTAAATATCAGCAAGGCTGTCTATGTGTGGAACCACAGGAGATGGGGGAGATACTAAATGAGTATTTAGCATCCGTGTTTACAGTGGAGAAGGATATGAAAGATAGAGAACTTGGAGGAATAAATAATGACATCTTGAAAAATGTCCATATTACAGAGGAGGAGGTGCTGGACGTCTTAAAAAACATAAAGGTGGATAAATCCCGGGGCCTGATCAGGTGTATCCTGGAACTTTGCGGGAAGTTAGGGAAGTGATTGCTGGGCCCCTTGCTAAGATATTTGCATCATCAATAGCCACAGGTGAGGTGCCGGAAGACTGGAGGTTGGCTAATGTGGTGCCAGTATTTAAGGTTATAAAGAAAAGCCAGGGAACTATAGACTGGTGAGCTTCACATCAGTGGTGGGCAAGTTGTTGGAGGAAATCCTGAGGGACAGGATTTACATGTATTTGGAAAGGTAAGGACTGATTAGGGATAGTCAACATCGTTTTGTGCATGGGAAATTGTGCCTCACTAACAAAATTGACTTTTGTGAAGAAGTAATGAAGAGGATTGATGAGGGTAGAGCTATGGACGTTATCTATCTGGACCTCAGTAAGGCGTTCGACAAGGTTGCACATGGTAAATTGGTTAGCAAAGTTAGATCACATTGAACTACAGGGAGAGCTAGCCATTTGGATACAGAACGGGCTTGAAGGTAGGAAACAGAAGGTATGGTGGGGGGTTGCTTTTTAGACTGGAGGCCTGTGACCAGCGGTGTGCCACAAGGATCGGTGGGGTCCAGTGCTTTTCATCATTTATGTAAAATGATTTGGATGTGAACACAGGAGGTATGGTTAATAAGTTAGAGGATGACACCAAAGTTGGCAGTGTAGTGGACAGCGAAGAAAGTTACCTTGGAGTACAGCGGGACCTTGATCAGATGGGCTGGTGGGCTGAGGAGTGGCAGATGGAGTTTAACTTAGATAAATGTGAGGTGCTGCATTTTGGAAAGGCAAATCAGGGCATGACTTATACTTTTAAAGGTAAGGTCCTGGGGAGTTTTACTGAACAAAGAGACCTTGATGTTCAGGTTCATAGTTTCTTGAAAGTAGAGCCGCAGGTAAACAGGATAGTGAAGAAGGTGTTTGGCATGCTTGCCTTTATTGGTCAGTGTATTGAGTATAGGAGTTCGGAATTAAATGTTGCGGCTGTACAGGATATTGATTAGGCCAGTTTTCAAATACTGCGTTCAGTTCTGGTCTCCCTGCTATGGACGGATGTTGTGAAACTTGAAAGGGTTCAGAAAAAATTTACAAGGATGTTGCCAGGCTTGGAGGGTTTGAGCTGTCAGGAGAGGCTGAATAGGCTGGGCTATTTTCCCTGGAAAGTCAGAGGCTGAGGGGTAACCTGATAGAAGTCTATAAAATCATGAGGGGCATACATAGGGTGAATAGCTAAGGTCTTTTCCCCAGGGCAGCGGACTCCAAAACTAGAAGCTATAGGTTTAAGGTGAGAGGGGAAAGATTTAAAAGGGACCTAAGGGGCAACTTTTTCATGTAGAGGATGGTGCATGTATGGAATGAGCTGCCAGAGGAAGTGGTGAAGGCTGGTGCAATTACAACATTTAAAAGGTATCTGGAAGGGTACATGAATAGGAAGGGTTTAGAGGGATATAGGCCAAAGCTGGCAAACAGGACTAGATTAATTTAGGATATCTGGTTAGCATGGACGAGTTGGACCAAAAGGTCTGTTTCGATGCTGTACAGCTTTATGACTCTGCTGTCTTGCTCCTCCACTTTCCCTCCTTCCTCCTCTCTCCCCACAACCTCCACACCCCCTTCCTCCACCCAACGCTGTCCACCACCAACACCCCCACTATGTCCGTCACCAGCCCTCCTACTCACCTATACTCCCCAGGCCTCTCCATTCTCTGTGCCTCCACAACTGATGCTTCTGCTGAAACCATCTCTCTTGCATTCCATGTATCCCCCCAACCCTGCAGCCCTTGAGCACACTGTCACTGTCCCTTTACTCTTTGCCCCCAACCTCCAACTCCACCCAGACAGGTTGTTTGAGAATCTGGAAAATAGAAAGTTAGAGATAAAACGATGGAGGAATGCCTAACTGAAACTGCTCATAACATGGTAATGTTCTGTTTCTTTCCAGATATCTCCTGGAACAGCAAGGCCTGGAACTCGTGGTGGCCCTGTAATGGCTGGAGGTGTGCTTTCTGCTCAGATTAAAGTTGCAGATCGTCCTGTAACTCAGCAGGGTTTGAGTGGAATGAAAACTGGAATGAAAGGTATGTGCAAGTTGTTCCCTATCATTTTTTAAATAATCTACAAAGCTAATCATTTACATCTCGGAAAATAGATGAAGTTCAACACAGATAAATCAGAATACAATTTGATGGGAAGAATGGGAAGATCAGTTATAATTGGAAGATGCAAATCTAGGTTGGGTAGAGGAACAAAAATACCTCATCACTGAAATATATCAATCATTAAAAGGTACGCACTCATAAGCACAAATTACTGTGCATGCTGGAGATCTGAAATAAAGGCAAAGTACTGGGGACACACTGGCAGAATGGAGTGCAAAACAGAGTTCAGGTTTCAAGTCTAATGTGACTCTTCAGAACCTGAAGTTTGACAGGACTGTGTTTGATATCATAATTTCTAGGGGTTAGGTTGATGCCTGGTGGTCTGACTGGTTTCCTTTCTATGAAATGTTTTAGTGGTTTGATACAACTGAATGGCATGCAAAGCCAGTTCATTGGGGGCTATTAAAAATAAACCACATTGCTGTGGGTCTGGCTTCTCGTGTAGGCCAGAGTAGGTAATGCAAGTGGGTTCCTTTCCCTGAAGAACGTTAACAAATAAGGTTTCTTTTTAATGACAATCAACAATGATTTCATGGTCATCACTAGACTCTTGATTTCAATTTGCATAAATTCACATTTTAACATCTGCCATTTTGGGATTCAAACCTGGGTCTGTAGATTACTACTCAAACGACAATACCACAACAACATGTCCTCCCTGATAAGTGTTTTTAAAATTGTCAATTATTTTGATAAACTGGATACAGAGAGAGTGGCCCACATTTTCTGCTGTGTCATAATGCCCTTTTCCAACCCAGACGAACATTATATAGTTAGTTACCTTGGATTTTATGGACCTTGTTTTCCAATGTAGGATCCAACAGGACTCACCAAGTGCAAGAATCCTAACAGAGCTGCGCAGAGATTCTTTAAGGAAGCTACAGCCTTTATTGAGGCAGTTGTTGTTATATTCTGATGAGTAAACAGTTCAATTGCCCAAAACCTCTTTGAGAAGCTATAGAGAGAAGGTGTGGACGTAGGATGGGTCAGTGGAAGGGTTGAGTTGATGGGTGTGGTGGACAATGGTTGGCTACAGAGGGGTGGCAAGAACTGCAGATGCTGGAGTCACAGTCGATCGTGTGGAGCTGGAGGAACACGGCAGGTCAGTCAGCATCAGAGGAATAAGAGAGTCGAAGTTTTGGGGCTAGATGACTGAAACGTTGACTGTCCTACTGCTCTGATGCTACCTGACCTGTGTTCCTCCAGCTCCACACTGTATCAGCAATGGAGGGATGTTATTTGGAGGGTTGGGCTGTGTGGGAAGGGGTGGATAGAAGCATTAGAACTGGTTTTAATCCTTTTAACATTTCCTGGGTAATTATCAAGTCATAATCACAAGTCATACCTAACAGACAATGTCCCAGACACCACCATCGCTATCCCTGGATACGTCCTGTCCCACCAGCAGGACAGACCCAGCAGAGGTGGTGGCACAGTGGTATACAGTCCAGAGGGAGTTGCTGTGGGAATCTCAACATTGACTCTGCACCCCATGAAGTCTCATGGCTTCAGGTTAAACATGGACAAGGAAACCTCCTGCCACATGCTTCCTCAGCTGATGAATCAGTACTGTTCCATGTTGAACAACAGTTGGAGGAGGCACTGAGGGTGGCATAGAGACAAAATGTATTCTGTGTGGGGATTTCAATGTTAACAAGCAAGAGTGGCACTGCAGTAGCACTAATGGTCAAGCTGGTTGGGCCCTAAAAGACATGGCTGCTAGACTGGATCTGCAGCAGCTCAAGAGGAAACCAACAAGAGGGATAAAACATACTTGACCTTATCCTGACCAATGTGTCGACTGCAGATGCATCTGACCATGATAATATCAGTATGAGTGAGCACCGTACAGTCATGACGGAGTCAAAGTCTCGCCTCCATATTGAGAATACCTTCCGTTATGTTCTATGGCATTATCACTGAACTAAATGGGACAGACTTCAAACAGATCTAGCAACTGAAGACTGGTCATCCATGAGGCGCTGTGGGCCATCAACAGCAGCAGAATTGCACTCCAGCACAATCTGCAACCTCGTGGACCAGCATATCCACTCTGCCATTACTATGAAACCAAGGGATCAACCCTGGTTCAATGGAGAGTGCAGGAAGGCATGCAGGAAGCAGCGCCAGGCATACCGAGAAATGAGTTGTCAACCTGGTGAAGCTACCAGCCAGGACTACTTGCATGCCAAACAGCATTAGCAATAACTGATATACAGAACTAAGCAATCCTAAAACCAATGGATTAGATTTAAGCTCTGCGGTTGTCACACACCCAGTCATGAATGATGGTGGACAACTAAACAACTCGCTGGAGGAGGAGATGCCACAAATATCCGCATCCTCAATGATGGAAGAGCCTAGCACATCAGTGCAAAAGTCAACGTTAAAAAATTTGCAGCACTGTTTAGCCAGAAGTGCCGAGTGGATGGTCCATCTCAGTCTTCTCCAGTGGTCCCCAGCATCACAGATATCAGTCTTCAGCCGATTCAATTCACTCCATATGATATCAAGAAATGGTTGGAGGCACTGGATACTGCAAAGGCTGTGGGCCCTGACAACACTTCCAGCAATAGTACTGAAGACATGTGCTCCAAAACCTGTTGCTCCCCTAGCCAAGCCGTTCCAGTAGAGTTACAACACTGGCATCTATATGACAATGTGGCTAATTGCCCAGGTATGTCCTTTACACTCAAAACAGGACAATCAACCCGATCAATTACCACCTATCAATCTGCACTTGATCATCAGTAAAGTGATGGAAGGTGGCATCAACAGTGCTGTCAAGCAGCACTTATTTGGAATAATAACCTGCTCAATGACATCCACTTTGGGTTCTACCAGAGCCACTCAGGTCCTACCCTCATTGCAACTTTGATTCAAACATGGACAAAAGAGCCAATTTCCAGAGGTGAGGTGAGAGTTACAGCCCTTGACATCAAGGCCACATTCGACCGAGTGTGGCATCAAAGAGCCCTGGCAAAACTGGAATCAATGGGTATCAAGGGGCAAACTCTGTTGGTTGGAGTCATGCTTGGCACATAGGAAGATGGTTGAGGTTGTTCGAGGTTAGTAGTCTCTGTTCCAGGACATCTTTGCAGAAGTTCTTCAGGCAAGTGTCCTATTCCCAATTATCTTTAGCTGCTTCATCAATGAACTTCAGCTGAAGATAATTGGGATTAGAAGTGGGGGTGTTTGTGCAATCATCGATGTTCACCATTCATGACTCCTCAGATAGTGAAGTAGTTCATGTTCAAATGCAACAAGATCTGGACAAATCCAGGCTTGAGCTGACACGTGGCAAGTAACTTTCACGCCACGTAAATGCCAGAGACAATCTAACCACCGCCCTTTGACATTCAGTGGTGTTACTATCACTGAATACCCCACTGATAACATCATTGGGGTTACCATTGACCAGAAACTCAACTGGACCTGCCACATGAACAAAGTGACCAAAAGCTCTGAGACTAGGATTACTGCAGCAAGTAACTCACTTCCTGAATCCCCAAAGCCTGTCCATCATTTACAAGACACAAGTCAGGAGTGTGATGGAATACTCCCTACTTGCCTGGATGGGTGCACCTTCAACAACACTCAAAAAGCTTGACACCATCCAGAACAAAGCAGCCAGCTTGATTGGCACCACTTCCACAAGCAGCCACTCCCTCCACCATAAATGCTTAATACACACTGCTGATACTATCTACAAGATGCACTGCAGAAATTCACCAAAGATCTTTAGGCAGCACCTTCCAAACCTATGACCACTTCCATCTAGAAGGACAGGGACACTTACTATCACCTGCAAGGTCCCTTCCAAGCCACTTACTATCCTGACTTGGAAATATTTCACCATTTCTTCAGTGTCGCTGGGTCAAAGTCCTGGAATTCCCTTCCTAAGGGCATTGTGGATCAACCTACAGTGCTTGGAGTGGTTCAAGAAGGCAGCTCATCACCACCTTACCAAGGGTAACCAGAGATGGGCAATAAATGCTGGCCAGCCAGCAACACCCACATCCCGCGAATGAAGAAAATTTGCTATGATTGCATTTTAACTCCATACCTCTTAAGCTTTTAGTTTGCTTTATAAGCATTAGGCTATCATATCTTGACAGTGAAAATTTTGTAAGATTATTTTGTTTCTATTTTAGTTGATGTAGGCTGAAGTCTTGTAAATGATCACTTTATAATTCTGAGTGCTATTTATTTTAAGTATTGTGTACAGTCACAATCATTACACTATCAGAACAACTTGATTGCACTGGTGAGGGATGCCTGGGATGAAAAGTCTGTTATGAGGGAAGACTGTATAGGTGGGTTTGTTTTCCTTGGAGTAGAGGAGGCTGACGAACGGATCTAATCGAGGTATACAAATGTCAAATCGTGTTCAATAACAACCGAGATCGGTGAGTGACGAAAATAGCCTGTTTATTGAGCACCCACAGTGGCACAGTTTGAGGCGGCGATGGAATCCAAACTACAGTTTTACAGTAACCTCTTTTATTCACAGTTTTTACATACATTAAAATTTTAGCACTATGGTGTCACATAGATGTATCTATTGTACACAAGTCTGTGTGACATCTGTCCTGGGGAAACAGGAGATAGTTTAAGCACTTGCTAAATGCTGGCTGTTACTCCTGATTGGATTAGAATGTCTGTCCTGTCTGAGCTTGCGTAATTAAGTGGTATTAGTCCTTTTGTCTTTAAAGTTAATAATGTTAGTGGAAATACTAGGCCTGTATGATCTAAATCAGTGAGAAATTATACATGTACTAAATAAAAGTATAGAGGAAATTAAACTGTTCTCCTGCAGCTGGTTCGTGAGATTTCATTTACTATTGCTGGTCTTTGACAGTTCCTACACATACATTCATACAGTTTCACGGAAGCGCCATTTTGATAGTAAGTTTCTTAAAGGGGGTAGTGGCCCTATTTAATATGTGTTTAGGAAGAATAAATCCGTACGTTATTACAAGATGGTATTCCTAAATAAAAGTTAGAAACGGGAATTACAATGTGTTACAAAGTTGTGTAGAGTGTTCATGAACTGGAAGGCAGGGAGTTAAATAAAATTTGTTGGTAAAACTGATCGTGGGGAAAAAAAAGAGTTCAGTGGTCCCTTTAAGAACTTGTGCTTTGTGCTTGGAAGTTTAAAAATGCAGATCCATGCAGAGTGCCCAAACGGAAACATTTTGTGTCGAACAGCCAAGCAGCATTTTTTCCAAGCCAACAAGCTTGAATTTGGTCAATTAAATTAAACAAAGCACCTAGATACAGAAAGCCAATTGAATTTAAATCGGATGGCGTTGACAACCTGAAATCAGTCACATAAGAATTTGATCATGTCATTACGGGTATATAAGACAAGGGCATTTGGAAAATCTGCCACCTGCCAGAGTTAGCACTATTCCGCTCTCGGAGAAAGCCCATCTAATTAATCAAAGGTACCACCGTATTTTAGCTCAAAGTCCTCATTGAAGAAATTGTAGAAATAAAAGCCCTGACAGCAGAATTAGCGGAAGAAAGGTGTTTGTAAGAGACCGGAGATGACAGAAGATTCTAGAAGACAGTCTGTGCGAATTTGGAGAGATTAAGTTATAATTTATTGCTTCTTATTAATTGGATTTATATTAGTGGGACTTGTCTTTATTTAAACAGCATTCCAGTAGAATTTAGAGCAATTAGGGAGTAATTAGTAGTCTAAGGGGGAATTGTTGGTTTATTAGTAATTTTGTTAATTTGTTCATTGTTGGGTTAAATAAATAAATTGTTCTTGTTACCTGCACAATGGATATCAGGGATTTTCTGTCTTTTAACCACTCATTTAATTGATTACGAGGGGAAGAACAAGCTTCTCTGGGTGTTTTGGGGGCATTTAGAGGGGAGCCCCTAATCCTGTCATAACAGATTGGGGCAACAAGGTGTAGAGCTGGATGAACACAGCAGGCCAAGCAGCATCAGAGGAGCAGGAAAGCTGATGTTTTGGGCCTACACCCTTCTTCAGAAATGCTGCTTGGCCTGCTGTGTTCATTCAGCTCTCCACCTTGTTGTCTCAGATTCTCCAGCATCTGCAGTTCCTACTATCTCCATAACAGATTGGGGCTTGTGTTCTAGTTTAATTATCAGAGGGGTTCAGCTATTCCCCCTTTGTAATGCAATACTATAGAAATAGCTAGTGTATGAGGAAATTTCAAACAGATGAAAAAACAGTGGACTGTAGGGACATGCTGGTGGAGGAAACTTTTTGATGTCCTGCAGCCTGTTCAGGTTCCAAGAAGCAGTTACTAAAGGTTAATTAACATTAGAATCTTTCCATAGTTTCGAGTGAGCTATGGAGACATAATGGCGGGGATGGCATTGTTCTGAGTAGATTACAGAATTAACACTTATTCAGGGGTAGCCTTTGATACAGAGAAGAGATCCAAACACTGCTTGCAGCCTGGGGCCGATCAGAATTGGAAGCTGTAAAGAAACAGTAATGGGTTGTCAGCCTAGGAAGGGATGTTTAATTTCGTTTATCTTGTAAGGTAAAATGCACTACACAAGCACGGTTTTATGAATGAATGAATGAATGAATGAATGGAAACACAGTATAGTAAACAAAGAGCACTTGCATACAACATCTCTCACAAAATTAAGAGAGGAATAGACAGAGTAGATCATGAAAATCTGTTCCCCGTGGCAGACATGTCTGAGATCAGAGGGCATAGTTTAAGGTATGGAGCAAGCAGTTTAGCAGAGATCTGAGAAAAACAAATTTCACCCCGACTGTGGTAGAAATTTAGAGCATGCTGCCTGAGAGGGTGGTGGAGGCAGGTACTTTCGCAACTTCTCAGAAGCATCTGGATGAGTACTTAAAATGTTAGGAGATAGTAGGCTATGCACCAAGTACAGGTAAATGGGATTAGCGTAGTTTGGTGCTGTTGGTCAGCATAGACATGGTAGGCTGAAGGGCCTGTTTCTGTGAGGTGTGACTCTAACTCTGTAACTCTATTTACAGGCCCTCATCGTCAGATTCTCGATAAATCCTACTTTCTTGGATTGCTCAGGTGGGAAGATTAATATTTTTAATGAATACAAAAAGTCCAATATTAACTCTGTGGAACTGGATCTTTAAACATCACATTTTACGCATCATGAGCCACTTATTTCCACTTGTTGCTATAGTTGCTCTGCTACTTCAACTCTCATAAATGTCTTTGCACTTCCAAACTCCCACCACTAGAATTTGTATCTTCTTTCCATTGACTCCAGCTTGTCCAAAACCTTGCCACTTGTCTTATGTCTTGGTTCCCAATCCTTCAGGTCCACACTTGCTCTCAGCCTTGCTGACCTTCACTGGCTTCACATGCATTCAATCTAAATCCTCAAACTTGTCTTTTAAGTTTTTTCAATGTTTCTGTCCAGCTAAGTAACTCATTTTAGAGTCATGGAGCTGTACACCATGGAAACAGACCCTTTGGTCCAACTTGTCCATGCCGAACAGATATCCTAAATAAATCTAGTCCTGTTTGACAGCATTTTGCCCCTATCCCTTGAAACCCTTCCTATTCATATACCCATCCAGATGCCTTTTAATTGTACCCGCCTCCACCACATCCTCTGACAGCTCTTTCTATAAATACACCACCCTCTGCATGAAGAAGTTACCCCTTAGGTCCCTTTTAAATCTTTCCCCTCTCACCTTAAACCTGTGCCCTCTACTTTTGGACTCCCCACTCCGGGGAACAGACCTTGTGTATTCACCCAGTCCCTGTCGCTCACGATTTTATAAACCTCTAAACGGTCACCTTTTGCCTCCAACGTTCCATGGAAAATAGCCCCAGTCCATTAAGCCTCTCCCTATAGCTCAAGCCCTCCAACCCTGGCAACATCCTTCTAAATCTTTTCTGAACCCTTTCAAGTTTCACAACATCATTCCTATAGCAGGGAGACAAGAATTGCATGCAGTATTCCAAAAGTGGCCTAACCAATACCCTGTATAACCGCAACATGACCTCCCGACACCTATACTCAATGCACTGACCAATGAAGGCAAGCATACTAAATGCCTTCTCCACCATCTAGTCTACCTGCGACTTCCACTTTCAAGGAACTATGAACCTGAACTCCAAGGTGTCTTTGTTCAGCAACACTGTCCAATACCTTACCATTAAGTGTATAAGTCCTGCCCTGATTTGCCTTCCCAAAATGCAGCATCTCACATTTATCTAAGTTAAACTTCATATGCCACTCCTCAGCCCATTGGCCCATCTGATCAAGGTCCCGTTGTATTTTGAGATAACCTTCTTCACTGTCTTCTACACCTCCAATTTTGGTTTCATCTGCAGACTTACTAATCATACTTCCTCTGTTCACATCCAAATCATTTTATATAAATGATGAAAAGCAGTGGACTCAGCACTGATCCTTGTGGCACACCGCATGTCACAGGCCTCCAGTCTGAAAAGCAAACCCTCACCACCACCCATTGTCGTCTACCTTCGAGCCGGTTCTGTATCCAAATGGCTAGCTCTCCCTGTATTCCATGTGATCTAACCTTGCTAACCAGTCTGCCATGTGCATTCTTGTCAAACGCCTTATTGAAGTCCAGGTAGATAACATCCACAGCTCTACCCTCATCAATCCTCTTCGTTCTTCAAAAAACTCAATTACATTAGTGAGACACGATTTCCCACATACAAAGCCCTGTTGACTATCCCTAATCAGTCCTTGCGTTTCCAAATATATGTAAATCCTGTCCCTCAGGATTCCCTCCAATGATGTGCCCACTACCAATGTCAGGCTCATTGGTTATAGTTCCCTGGCTTTTTCTTACCACCTTTCTTAAATAGTGGCACCACGTTGGCCAACCTCCAGTCTTCCGGCACCTCACCTGTGGCTATCAATGAACAAATACCTCAGCAAGGGGTCCAGCTATCATTTCCCTAGCTTCCCACAAATTTCTAGGGTACACCTGATCAGGTGCCAGGGATTTATCCACTTTTATGTGTTTTAAGACGTCAGCACCACATCCTTTGTAATATGGACATTTTTCAAGATGTAGCTATTTATTTCCTCAAGTTCTATATCTTCTATATCCTTTTCCACAGAAAACATTGATGCAAAATTCTAGTTCAGTATCTTCCCCAATTTTCTGCAGTTCCGCACATAGGTGGCCTTTAAGGGGCCCTATTCTCTTCCTAGTTACTCTTTTGCCCTCAATGTATTTGTAGAATCCCTTTGGATTCTCCTTAACCCTATTTGCCAAAGCTATCTCATGTCCTCTTTTTGCCATCCCGATTCCCTCTTAAGTATACTTCTTACTGCCTTTATAATCTCCTAGGGATTCACTCGATCCCTGCTGTCTATACCTGACATATGCTTCCTTTTTATTCTTGACAAAACCTCAATTTCTCTAGTCATCCAGCATTCCCTACATCTACCGGCCTTGCCCTTGAACAACAGGAACGTGCTGTCTCTGCACTCTCATTATCTCATTTTTTGAAAGCTTCCCATTTACCAGCCGTCCCTTTACCTGTGAACATCCGCCCCCAATCAACTTTTCAAAGTTCTTGCCTCATACTTTCAAAATTGGCCTTCCTCCAATTTACAACCTTAACTTTTAGATCTGGTCTATCCTTTTCCATTACTATTTTAAAAGTAATAGAATTATGGTCACTGGACCCACAGTTCTCCCGCACTGACACCTCAGTCACCTGCCCTACCTTATTTCCCATGAGTAGGTCAAGTTTTGCTTCTTCTCTAGTAGTACATCCACATCCTGAATCAGACAATTTTCTTGTACAGACTTAACAAGTTCCTCTCCTTCCAAGCTTCTAACGCTATAGTAGTCTCAAGCTATGTCTGGAAAGTTAAAATCCCCTACCATAACTACCATATTACTGTTACAGATAACTGAGATTTTCTTACAAATTTGTTTCTCGTTTTCCCACTGACTATTGGGGGTTTTATCATACAATCCCAATAAGGTATCATCCCTTTCTTATTTCTACGTTCCTCCCAAATAACTTCCCTAGACGTATTCCCAGGAATATCCTCCCTGAGTACAGCTATAATGTCATCCCTTATCAAAAATGCTACTCCCCATCTTCTCTTGCCCCACCCCCCGTTTCGATCCTTCCTGTAGCATCCATAACCTGGAACATTAAGCTGACAGTTCTGTCCATGTCTGAGCCACGTCTTTGTAATCGTTATGATATCCCAGTCCCATGTCCATCTGCCTTACCTGTTAGGCCTCTTGCATTGAAATAAATGCAGTTCAATTATCTGTACTACCTCGTTCTCTGTTTTGTTCCTGCTTGCCCTGACTGTTTGATGTGCACCTTCTCCCAACTGTACCAGAGTCAGACTGATTTATTTCCTCACAATCTCTGTGGGATCCCCTCCACCACCACCCCCCGCCCCCCACCTTACTGTTTTAAATCCTCCTGAGCTTCTCTCGCAAATCTCTCCACCAGTCCTCTTCCAAAATTCAGGTGCAATCAGTCCTTCTTATATAGGCCACTGCTGCCCCAGATGAGATTTCAATTATTCAAAAATGTGAATCCTTCTCCCCTACACCAGCTCCTCAGTCACGTATTCATCTGCTTTATCCTCATGTTCCTACCCTCACTAGCTCGTGGCACTGGGAGTAATTCAGATATTACTACCCTCAAGGACCTACTTTTTAAATTCCTGCCTATCTCCCTATATTCTCTCCTCAGAATCTCGTCCTTTTCTCTTCCTAGGTCATTAGTTCCATTGTGTACAATGACCGCCTGCTGGTCCCTCTCCCCTTTAAAAATATTCTGCACCCTCTCTGAGATATCGTTGATCCTGGCACCAGGGAGGCAACATACCATTCTGACATCTCGTTGTTGGCTGCAGAAACGTCCGTCTGCCTCTGACTAGAGAGTCCCCTATTTCAATCAATCGCTTGGAACTTGACATGCCCCTCATTACATTAGAGCCAGTCTCAGTACCAGAAACCTGGCTGTCAGTGCTAGATTCCGCTGAGATTCCATCACCCCCTATATTTTCGAAAACAGCATACTTGTTTGAGATGGGGACAGCCACAGGAGACTCCAGACACCCGGCCTTCCTCTCCTTCCTTTCATGGTGGTAACCCATCTACCTGACTGTATCTGTGGTTTTTCTCTCTCCCTGCAACTGCCATCCGTCACACCCCCTAGCTTCTGTAAATTCCTCATTGCGTGTAACTGCTGCTCTGACCAATCCATGCGATCTGATGTGTTTGGTTACAAATCCTACTTCTTGAAGACATAATCATCAGTGACATGAAAACTTTCCCTAATCTCCCACATCCGACGGGAAGAGCACAGCACTATACTAAATGCCATCTTAGCACCTTAACGATCTACACACCCAGAAAAAAGCCCAGTCTTACTTCTCTAAAAGCATTGCTTCAGGCTAGCCTAATACATATGTTTTATATTTTAAAGTTTAATCAAGAGATGGATCTGAATAACAACGTATAATCAAAAAAGAACCCACTCTACTTACTATTGTAGATTTGCAAAAAGAAAACAGTAAGGTTACAGTTTAAAACTAGCTACTTAGCTGCTCCCCTGGTGTGAGCTTCCCTACATAGGTTTTTCCAAGGTCACCTGTGAATTTTGCTGTTTGTTTATTTTTCTTAGACAAACTCTGATGTCCAGAGATACTTGAAACTAAACAGCAGAGGCAGTCAGCTGTGAAGGTTCACTGCTGGGTCAGACAGCTGTGTAGGTTTATTTCTCTATTTATTTCACTTCCTATGTGGTCACTGCCTTTATCTCTCTTCCTCCTTTTTAAAAGTGCTATTGTTTTGATCTTTTTGAACTAATTATTTATCTGATTCCAGAATTCCCTTTTAAAATTCCTTCACCTTCCCAATGGTGGTAAAGTTACAATGCCTTTGTTTTATTTTCAACAGCTTCCTTCCTGAAACTTTTCATTTCCCTGTCCACCATTTAAAAGCCTTCTCCACATCCATGTTTTCACCATGTTCTCTAACCTTGTCCTAATCTTTCATAGACAGGTGGATGTATATAGTGCAGATGGAGGCCACTTGGGCCATAGTGTTCTTACTGATCAACAAAGATGTGACTACACTAATCCTTTTTTTCACCTTTTGGCCTATAACCCTAGAGGCCATGGCAATGCAAGTGAATATCTATAAATTGATTAAATGTTCCAAGAATATCAGACCCACCCATCTTTTGAGACAGAAAGTTCTGGACTTCCTCTATGATCTGAGTGAGAAGAATTTATTCTCAATTCTCCTCTTAGCCTTCTACCTCTTAGCTTAACGATATGCTCCTGGTTACTGACCCTCTTCTAATAGAAAAAATGTCCCATCTATGCCCCCCATGATCTTATACACTTCTACCAGGCCCCCTCTTTAACCTTCACAATCCCAAGAAAAATAACACCAGCCTATTCAACCTTTCATCATAGCTCAGACTGTCCAGCCCAGGCAGCATCCTTTTAAATCTCCTTTGTCCTATCTCTAGTACAGTCACATGTTCCTAGTTACAGGGAAATGGGATATACCTGATTTTGCATTTCTTTAGTCCATGTTTAATTATGCTATTGTTTCTGTCTTATTGTGTGAATCTTACCTGGAATATTTTTGTACAGAGCCAAAATAAATGAACTTACAACAGAAGTCAGCAAGCTACAAAAAGAAATTGATACATTTAATCAAGAAAATTCTGTTTATCTATCCTATGAAAAGAGGTAAGTACGTTGTTTCTGCATCTGTACAAATTCCACACACAACAGATGAAATACTGGTATTCATTCTTAACTGCCTTTCATGTTTTGCAACAGGGCTGAAGCTTTGGCAGTGGAAATAAAAGATTTGCAGGGGCAACTAGCAGACTACAATATGGTGGGTGTAACTGTTAAATTGACTTTACACATAGATAGGTAGTATTGAGAACTAAGTAACAAATTCAGTTTGCAATACCATAATTATTTTAACTGAATTGCAAAAATAAAGCACAATAAATATGAAAAAAAAATGTTTTCTTTAATTTTCTATCGCTAAATTGTAATTTGGTTTTTGTTCAGTGATGATATTCACCTCTGGGACAAGCTCTGTTCTTAGCTTGTATGCTTAAGCCTAGCTCTTCAGTGCAGCACTGAGGGAATACTATGTTGTCACAGATGCCATATTTGAAATGAGACAGTAGGTGGAGTCTCGTATTTGATTTCTCCAGTGAATGTGTGAGATCTTAGTGCGCTATTTGAGAAAGAGAAAGAAATTCCCATGATTTCCTGGCCATTTCCTCAGTCATCTTTATTGAACTAGAAATGATCAAGTCATTATAGTTACTGGTCAGTAAAATTTTGCTAGACATAAATGGAATTCCGTGTTTGTCTACATCAAAATGTTTAAAAAGCTTCATTGGCTTTGAAGCATTTTGATATACTAATCGTACAAAAGGCTCCATTGTTGTCTTTGACATTTCTTGACTTTATCTTGTTCTCTGCCTTTAGTTAGTAGATAAGCTGAATACCAATACTGACATGGAAGAAGTTATGAATGACTATAACATAGTAAGTCTTGTCATTTTCAATAAATTAAATTCTCCTTTTTGTTATCTTCAGAATTTTTTCTATCATTTGCTTGTTCTGCCATAAAACATTACATGCAAAATAAATCCAGCTTTTTGAATTGAATATTTATATGTATTTTCATATTCTTTTTAGCAATTGTAATGAATTTTTGGTAATTGCATTTAAGAAAAAGATATATCCTTGTTTAACTGGGAATGTCAGCTTTGAATTTTATTATTTGGTCTGTTCTGCTTTCCTACTTGATTTCTCATCATATAATGTACCTGTCATAAGAACATAAGAAATAAGAGCAAGTGTAGACCATTCAGTTGCCTGTGACTGCCCCAACTTTCATTAAGATCACAGCTGATCTCTCCAGGTCTCAACTCCTCTTTGTGTTCCTTGCTATATATCGATCTAACTCTTCTTTAAATAATTTCAGTGATCTTGCCTCCAGAACTTTGAGGTAGAGAATTCCAGATATTCACTGCCCTCTGAAAGAAGAAATTCCTGTGAATCTCATTTTTAAATGACTGTTCCCTTGTTCTTTAACCATGTCCCCAGTTCGACATTCCCTGACTAGCGAATACATCTCCTCCCCATCTACCCTACCAAGATCCCTCAGAATCTTATATGTTTCAATAAAATCACCCCTCATTCCCCTAAACTTTAATGGATAAAGGACAAACCTGTTTAACCATTTTCAATAAGTTAACCTCTTCATGTCATGAATGAGTCTAGTGAATCTCTTTTGAATTGTCCCCAATGTCAAGATGTCCTTTCTGAAATACAGGAACCAAAAGTGTTCACACTGCTGCAAGTATGGTCTCATCCTGTACAGTTGTAACAAGACCTCCCAATTTTTAAGCTCTAATCCCCAGCAATAAGGTCCTAAAATTCCATTTGCTACCTTTTGGTCAAATTGATATCATCTTTGAACTCTCTGGGGCTTCATCTTTCTCTTTTTTTTATTTCTTATGTTTTTTTTATTTTTTTTTTTTTTTAAATTTCTGGTTTTGTAATCAAGATGGCTTCAAAGAATGGCAACCTTGTACACTTTTCACAGTACTCATGTATTTCCATACTGAGTGCACATGACAATAAGTTCTAATTCTAATGATTTGCTGCATCTGCACACTAACATTTTGTGTGTCATGCAAAAGAATATCCATATCCCTCTGCACTGCACTTTCTTTTTGAAGTCTCTCTCCATGCAAACATTACTGTGCCTTTTGTTTCTTTCTACCATTGTGCATAGCCCCATACTTTCATACATTAAACTCCATCTGCCAAAGTTTTACTCATTCAATCAACCTAACTATATGCACTTGCAAATCCCTTATGTCTCATCACAACATGCCCTTGTACCTAGTTTTGTATCATCAGCACATTTTGGATACATTATTCTCTGCCCTTCAAAATGTTACTATAGATAGTAAATAATTGAGGCTCTAGGATTGATCCTTGTGGCGCTCTACCAATTACATTTTTCCAGTCTGAAAATGCTCATTAATTCTGACTCTGCCTTTCCTGTGTAACCAATCCTCAGTTCATGCCAATACATTACCCCCAATGCTGTGAGCTCCTATCTTGCATAATATCTTTTATGTGGCCTTATCAAACGTCTTCTGGAAATCCAAATGCACTACATCTCTTGATCAGCATTCCCTCTAATTTTTTATAGCTCTATGGGCTTCTGAGGCCTGTGTGCAGCAGTGACTTCTGGAACCAGAAGTCAGTGCTGCAAACAGCATGCCAATACAGATCGTAGGGCATGGAGCCTTGGACTGGCTGCTTTGCAGCTTAGAGGGAAGGTTGCTGCTTCTGCTTTATTAACTCTGCTTGTTATATTGTCAAAATACTCTGGAAAATTTGTCAGACATGATTTCCCTTTCTCAAAAATATGTTGATTCTATTTGATTACATTAAGGTTTTCTAAATGCCCTGCTATTTCTTCCTTTATAATGGTCTCTGCATTTTCCCAACTACTCTACATGTTAGGCTGACTGGTCTATAGTTTCCTTCTTTTTGTCTTCCTGTCTTCTTAAACAGGGGCATCAGGTCAGTTGTTTTCCAATGTGTTGGAACCCTCCAAGAATCTAATGAGTTCTGCATTACTTTGACCAATGCCCCACTATCTCTGTGGCCACTTACATTAAAACACTTGGAGCAGGCCATCATGTCCTGCTTCCCTTCAGACCCGTTACTGTGTCAAATGCTTTGCCCCATGATAGAGATGGGTACATGGCGTTACTATCCTCCCTTTAGCACTTTGCATGTCTGATGTCTTGAGCATATTTATATTGACATCCACCATGAAGAATGATGGGAAATATTGGTGCAACTTATCCACCATTCCCTTGTTCCTCATTATCAAATCCCTAGTCACGTCCTCCAAAGATCCCAAAAAAAAATTCAATTTAGCTGCTTCTCTTTCTTTTTATATGCCCATAGAAGCTCTTGCTGTTTGTTTTCATATTTCATGCCAATTTATTTTCACATTCCATTTTCTCCATTTTTATTAGATTTTTAGTCATTTGCTACTGGTTTCCAAAATTTAAAAAAAAAGTGCCCATCCTCAGGTCTGTCAATGGTTTACACTGCTTTGCATGCCCTTGTTTTTGGATACTCTCCTTAACTGTCTTTATTAACCATGGGTAGTTCATCCTTTCATCAAGTCATTGTTTTTGACCAGAATAAAATTTTGGTGAGCTGAAATATCTGCATGATCATCTGTCACAGTTCATTTTCTGATCTTCCCATTAGTCTATTTTCCCACCCGCTTTAGACAAATCTTTCTTCATTTGCTTAAATTGTCCTTCTTTGTTGACAACACTGGTTTGAGGCTTGAGTTCCTCTCCCTCAGACTGAAGTTGAATTTCTGCCACGTTGTGGTTGCAACCCCTATAGGGTCCTTAACAATGAAATCTCTTAATAATCTTGCCTCATTACTCGTAGCTACATCTAAAATAGCCTGTTTCCAGGATAGGTTTGCAAAGTACTCTCCAAGAAACAATCCCTGATGCACTCTCCAAACTCATCTTCCACATTACCATGCCCATCTGATTTGGTTCAGTCAATATGCAGATTAAAACCACCCATTACAATTGTAGTGGCCTTCTTGCACACCTCCATTATGTCATGATTTATGCTTTGTCTTACAGTGAGGCAACGCGTGACATTGCCTTGTTGCTTATTTCCACCCAAACTGGTTCCACATCATTCTCTATTATGCTTGTATCACTACTGCCCCATTATTACTTTCTTCTATTAACAAGAGTACTCCACCTCCTTCTCCTTTTTGCCTATTTTTCTAGAATGTTGAATATGTTTGAATATTGATTTCCCTGTTTTCTTCAATGTGCAACCATGCTTCCACAGTAGCAGTCAAGTCTCATTCATTTATTTCTATTTGTGCTGTCAACTCATCTATCTTGTTAGAACTATTTGCATTCATAGAAAGAACATTGAGGTTTGACTTTTTACCATTATTACTTATTCTGGTTCTAATTTCTGCTGCACTCTTCAGTTTATATTTTCTGCTCCTTCCTGTCTCATTTTGATTATTGTTGCCTCTTCACTACTCTGAACCTTTGCTTTTTCAGTTCATTCAATCGAACCCAACTCCCCACTAAAGCCCTATCTGAACCCTAGCCATACAATTTGCCAACTAGTCACAGCATGTATCAATTGAAGCCAATCTCAACAGAACAGCTCTCTTGTTCCCAGAACTGGTGCCAGTGCCCCATGATCTAGAACGCATTTCTCCCACACCAATCTTTGACCTCAGTTGCATCTTTAATCTTATTTACCTTATTCTAATTAGCAATTGGCTCAATATTATCTTTGTGGTTCTGCATTTTAATTAATCTCCTGAAGTGACTTGTTATCCGTCAGCAGAACTGTTTTCCTAGGCTTACCTGTATCATTGGTACATATGTGGACCATGACAACTGGGATCCTTTCCATCCCACTCCAGATTCTTCTCCAGCCCAAAAGAGATGTCATAAACCTTGGCACCTCCTGTAGTATGTGCCTTCATCCACACCAATAGCAAGAACCTTGCAAGAACCAAGGGCACAGGCTGAGGCTCCTCCAAAGCTAAATTTTGGATCCCAATGCCTCACTGTCAACCTTCCTGCCCATGACCAAATCACATTTGATGTAATTAATCTAAGGGGTGTGACTATCTCCTGAAATAATATCTAAGTAACTCCCCCTCTTCCTGATGCATCGCAGTGTCTGCAGCTCTTCACATTTGAGCCAAGGTTTCGCATCCAGCCAACACTTGCTGTTAATGTTGTAACCATGAATCACACCAACATCCTCCAACTCCCACATACTACAGTTGCAAAATGTTGCATGCCCGGCATCTATTCAATTTTCTTATTAACTTGGATGTTAAATATTTAGAAGTGAATTTCCTAACTGTATCTTCAGCTGTAATATCATCTCCTAATTTTAAACCATTTGTCCAATCAAAAGAGACACAGAGGAATGATCCACCAGTCTCCTCAGTAACTCTGTCACCAACTTTGGAATTTGGATTCATGATGTTCATCTTGTATGCACTTGCTTCTCTGGGATCATATCATCTTTAAGTTAATCTATGATGTTGCCTCAATCTACCTCTAAAACCTTCTTTAGTTTGATAGCTTCTCCAACCCAGCAGTACCTGAACTGTGCCTGTAGTCCAAGTCCTCACGTTTTGCTTAGTCTCGTTGTTAAACTTTCAGCTACCTCAGTCCTGCTATTTTTTCTTCTTTCCTAAACTGATTTGGTTCTGCATCTCTCTGTTTTAAAGCCGTCTCAAAAACTGTTTTCTAGTCAGACATGCAGTCATTGCTACAAATGATAAACACACAACATGGTTTGGAATAATCATTCCTTATTTGTTTGAGTAAAGCTACTCGGAATAATACATTCTGTCATTCCATCCATTTAAAATATTAATGTTACATATGATATTGTAATAAAACTGACAATTGTAATAGACTGCTGTTGATTGCTCTTAATGGACAAACAACAATTTGTATTTTAGCTAAAAGCACAGAACGATCGAGAAGCACAGGGTATGGACGTAATTTTTACAGAACGACGAGAGTAAGTAATAAAACTTGTTCAGAATATTGAATGCATAAGGATGACTCTTCAAGCCTGTACTGCCATTTTATGCATCTCAAACATGAATTGAAACAATATCCACAACACTTTGAGAATGGCACTTTCAAATTTTCACTTCTCGTGAAATGTACTTCCTAATTTCACTCTTAAATGCCTTAGTTCCAAGTCATTTTACCATCATCTTTTGAGCAGTGTCAATACTTTAGTAACTATTTATCTGACCTGGAACGGGAGTGTTAGTGCATGATGGGATACTGAGTAAATTGTGGGTATATTCTTTGGCATTTAGAAGAATGAGGATGATTGCCTTGAAACCTACAAGATTCTGAAGGGGCCTTACAGGGTTGTAACTGAGGTTGTTTCCCTTTTTGGGAAATCTATTATATGTGGGTACAGTCTCAGGATAAGAGGCTGATCGGTTAGCACGAAGATGAGGAGATATTTAGTTGAAAGTAATGTGAATGTTTGGAATTCTGTACCCCAGAAGGCTATGAATTTGACGATACGAAGGTGGGTCACGATGTGGACAGTGCGAAGGGCTGTTCTAGGTTACAAAGGGACATTGATAAAATGCAGAGCTGGGCTGAGAAGTGGCAGATGGAGTTTAACCTGAAAAGTGTGAGGTGATTCATTTTGGAAGGACAAACTTGAAAGCAGAATACAAAGTTAACGGAAAGATTCTTGGCAGTGTGGAGGAGCAGAGGGATCTTGGGGTTCATGTTCACAGTTCCCTGAAAGCTGCCATCCAGGTGGATAGAGTTGTTAAGAAGGCGTATGGTGTGTTAGCTTTCATTAATAGAGGGATTGAGTTCAAGAGCTGTGAAATTATGCTCCAGTTATACAAAAGCCTGGTTCGGCCACATCTGGAGTATTGTGTCCAGTTCTGGTCACCTCATTACAGGAAAGATGTGGAAGCGTTGGAAAAGGTGCAGAGGAGATTTACCAGGATGTTGCCTGGAATGGAAGGAAGGTTGAGAGATAGGGCTTTTTTCTTTTGAACGACAAAGGATGAGAGGTGACTTGATAGAGGTGTACAAAATGACCAGAGGTATAGATAGAGTAGACAGCCAGAGACTTTTTCCTAGGGTGGAGGTAGCTTTTACGAGGGGACATAGTTTTAAAGTGAAAGGAGGTAGATATCAGGGAGACGTCAGAGGTAGGTTCTTTACTCAGAGAGTTGTAGGGGCGTGGAATGCATTGCCGGAGAGGGTAGTGGAGTCGGCCTCATTAGGGGCATTTAAGCGGCTATTAGATAGGCATATGGATAATAGTATAAGGTAGCGGTGGAGGTTAGATAGACCTTAGGTTTCGGGTAAAAGTTCGGCACAACATCGTGGGCCAAAGGGCCTGTACTGTGCTGTAATGTTCTATTTTCTATGTTCTATGAATAAGTCAAAGGGTTGTGGATGTTGCATTATGGATTATATTGAAGCCAGAAAGAGATTTTCCAGTCTGTCAGGATAATGGCAAAGGTTGGGAGTGGAGAGAGGCCAAATATCATCCAAGATTGCATTAAATGACATTGTAGGCTTAGCAGGTCTTAGTCTACTTGTGCTGCTATTTCTTGTGTTGTTAAACATCTTAAACTTAAATCATGTTTACGCAAACTGAGCTTAGTTTAAGTACAGTCGGTTCTGCTATAACATAGAAATAATGGGGCCAATAGGAAAAGTGAGGTTAGGGGCAGACCACCAAAAAAAACACTCCAGAATCACTCAAAAGCCTAACACAAAGGTTAGCACAATTTGAATAAAATAATAAAATAAAATAAAATAAAATTTAATAAATAAAAATAAATTTAACACTTTATGTTGGAAAAAATGTCAAGATGACTTGATGGGTAAGGAGGTTGTACTGTATCTCTCACAGGAAGCACTTCAAGACAAAGCCTGCAAAATGATCACATGATGCCAGTGCAGAGACTTTTTCATTGCACGTATTTGCTAACATTGTACGTATTCACGACAAAGCCCGTGAAACGATCATGTGATGTTGACGCATACCCCTCTATGCACCGATGGAATCGCGTTATAGCCAACACAAGTTCGCATTTTAGAAATAGCATTCCCCCATTCGTCGATCGTGTTACAGTCATTTCACATTGACGGAATACATGTTATAGCAGAACTGATTGTGCCAGTTCCAACTGCTGAACTTGTTGGACCCTACACAAAGACCGAATCTACCTTTCCTGAGGTTCAGTAGCTAAAACTGAATGTGGTGCTGTAGACTGATGCTGGTTGCTCTTCAGGTGCATAGGTAGATAAGACTCTAAAATTGATTTACAGAATCCTTGGTTTTGTATCTGAATGTATAGAGTTAATGTTGAACATGTAGAAACACTAAGCTCTAACTAGAGGACTGTGTACATTTTTGTGCAATCTATTGCATGTAAAATGCAAAGCTTCAACAACCTTTTAAAAGCAATTTTTCAAGTTCTGTAATGGCAAATTGTTCATTATCAATACATTCTCTTGACAACAATATCAGCTTTTTTCAACTATATTGTGTTTTGGAACATTGCACTCAAATAACACGTTAGAATTCAAATATAGTAGGAACTGCAGATGCTGGAGAATCTGAGGTAACAAGGTGTAGAGCTGGATGAACACAGCAGGCCAAGCAGCATCAGAGGACAGGAA